CTCCACTTTACATAGATTTCTGGGGCAGCTTATGCTGTTCACTGTCTAGGCAGTTAATGCTATTTTTTTTCTGTACACTTCAATAGTTCTAAAAAACCAGAATGGAGTATCACAACTGATGCTTGCACTATGTAGGGTTTCCTGAATCCCAGTAACTAGTGAAGTATTTCTGGGCTTATCTTCTCAGTTTACTTTTGAACACAAAAATGCTCAGAGACTGATCAGATCTACCCAGTATTAAATTAGACTCAGATTAATAACACTAAAAACTTTCCATGGTAATGAACGACATATAAATATTTACACAGAGAGGCTTATTACAAATATGCGTCCTTTAACCCTTCAGCATGTTACATTTTTAGTTCCAAAATGACGAGATTTGTTTTTAACATATTTTGTATATCTTGAACACCCTAGATTATAACTGACTAAATACTAAGCAGCAGATCATAATATATCTAATTTAAATTACATGGCTAACTTTTGATTCTAGAAAATGTTATGTATCTTGGGAAGTTTATTAGTATATCTGAACTACTCAAGATCTTTCTGAAGAAGCAGACATTGAAAGAGTGAATGCCCTTAAATGAGTTACATGTATCAATAAACTTATGTATTAAAAAAAACCCCGAAATCATTAGAACTGCTGAAAAAACTAAGAAACGAAAAAGTACAGACCTGATTGTATGAAGAACCTAAGCTGTAGCCCCAGAAGTGTTAATCAGCTTCAGGATTCCAATGGGTATTTCAGCTGCACCCTGACTCCACACTGGGATAGAATCCAGAAACTAGTGTTTTGCCCCTTTCTCTCCTTGCCTTCCAGTTTTTACAGAAAGTAAAGGAGCTGCAATGTGCTCTGACAGGTGTCCTGCTCTGCACGACACAGGGTTCAGGCCTGTACTGGGTACCACAGGCTGCATTTATCTTGTAATACACACATAGCTTGTAGCACACTAAATACATCCATGAATTTAGGAAAATAAGCTCTACCAAACCCCATGTTTTCCAGAAAACTTACTGTACCTCTACAATGAAGGCTTTTCTTTCAGATTCACTTTCTATTTGTTTAATGGCTACATCTTTAGCTCGCCATTTTGCTTTGCAGACCACACCAAAGGCTCCTCTTCCAACAACCTAGAACAAGATAACACAAAACACTTGAGTTAAAACTTGAAGTGGTTTCATTTGCTGCGCAGGACTTAACAAGCGGAAAATAAATTTATCTTAGAAAACTGAAAGCAAAAAATCGTGTTTTGCAGCAGCAACTTAATATTATGCCGTCAAAGCATAACTGGAGCTTAGCTAAGTTTCCTCCAGAGATCATTTACAGAAGAAATACGAAAACACACATACAAAGCATTTATTATTAACAGGCACTAACAGTATTTCAGAAAAACAGAATCTTAATTATTTCGAACAAGATCTGTTCAGAAGAAAATTAAGAGAATGATGGCAAATTTATTTTTATAGATTGGATCAGTGAAATCATACCTATCTGCTGTTTATGTATGATAGTAATAGGAATTCAAAATTCTGAAATTTAAATGCATATGCAAACAGTTGCACAGGACTCTGCTGAAGCCTCGATGAGGTGTTCAGTGTGCTCAAAAACGTACTTCCATTTTCTCACAGATGCCTCAACAGTGTAGGAACAGTAAATTCTCCTTAAAGTCCTCCATATAAGCACAGTATCTGCATAAACAATGCTTTCTCTATTTTCATTGACTTCTGCTTTTTAGTTTATTTGGAATTAACACTGCCTAAAAATACACAAAATCAGAAGAGAGTCATAACTCTTCACCATAACTTCACAGAAGCAGTAGTAGCAGCTTCTGCATACTGTATTATTCAAGAATCCTCTAATGTTTGCTGTCAAGAAGCTCTAACACCACCACTATTTGGAACAGTTCTTCAAAACCAAGCTTGAAAATGAAAGCAGGATAGAGACAAGTGTCCTTTTTCTGTAAGAACACTTTGAGTTACTGGTGAGTTATAAACTACAGTAAATTCAAATTTCACTTTTAAATGCGTCCTCCAGGGGAAAAATGGCAACATACAGAAACAACAACAAAACGTGCATAGCATATGCAATGCAAAGTTGAAACTAGAGTGTCACCAAAACAGTGACACTAGCTGCTGCAGGACAGACAAGCAAATTGTTACACATATGCCCAAAAGAAAGGTGGAGCAAAGAGAAGGAGGAAATGGAAGGCACACAAAGGCACAGAAGCAGCTAAGGGATAAGAGTTCCTCCAACTCCAAAAAATGCAAGGCAGGGCGGATGAGAAGGATAGGGAGGAAAGAAATGGACAAGGGGCTAGGTGGGCTGGTCTTGAATTCTGTATTTGGCCCTAGCAGCCTTTCTTCACCACTGGTTTTAACAGCGTTCTGTGTCCGTGTTCCTGGTCCTTGATTTCAACTAATATCATACATATCCTGAGGAACAAGGCAGACATTTGTAAAGAAATAAACACTTTTTTGAGAGGTGAATGAGAAGAGAAGGGAAAGGAAGGGAAGTGGAAGCATTTACAAATGTGATTGCCATAGTAGTTTATTATGGCAAAATTTAATTTTACTGTCTTCCTTAAATGGGTAATGCACACACGAATATTATTTTGGATGGAAAAACACATTATCTAAAATTACAAAGCCCTTCACTAGAAAGTCATAGTCATTTATGACTTCAAACAATAGAAAAGAGATTCAGGAGAGGGGAGGAACATTCAAAATTAAAATATATAGACGAAACATAAATAAAGGACCCACAAAATGTTCAAACATACTATTGCATCCACGTTATGAACAGTACACTGATTCTTACAGGTTCACTAGTGAATTCACTCCTTAACAGGATGGCTTCTTAAAAGAAAAGTGTGATTTGTAGGAGATCAGTGAATAACCACGCATTCTCAATGCTGAAACAATGCACACTGCCTGAATGCTCATCCTTTGAGGTAGGTAATAACATTTAACAATTTTACCTCTTTTTTTTTTTTGAGATGTCCCCCAATATAGTAATAATCCAGAATGTTAAATAAGAGTGCTGATCCTGAGAAGGCCACTCAGTAGCCGGGAATGTACAAGTACCAGACTGTTCTTGTCAAGGCTCCATGTCAAAGCAAACTGACTATCAGGTATGTAAATCATGCTTGGGTTTGGTTCTAGCTACATGCTTTCCCAATAAATAAATAGTGAAGCTGATTTCCCCTGAGAATGGAGTACCTAAGGGTGCAGGTGCAATTTGAAGAGGGGAAAAATATAAATTAAAAAAATAATCAAGATTTTGCATTAAGAAAGATGAGAAAAAAGGAAGTATGCTCAATATTTTTGTAAGGTTATATATAGATATGAGAGACAGCTGCCCAGGAATGGTGATCAATGGCATTTTCCTTTTCTGGTTTCCTCAATATGCACAAAGAAGTATTTTTCTCTTAGCCTTCTAGGATCTCCTGGCTTCTCACCCTCCACAACAGTGGTTCATGGACTGAGCCTACCACAAGATATCAACAGCAGATCCACAGAACATGCCCCATTCAGTCCCTTGTATAAAGAGACTTCTTGAATGTAACCTCCTCCCCCAGCAACAGTATAAGGCTTTGACTCTTCTCTCAATAGAACACACACTGTCTATAATTCTAGCAGTCCACAACTGAGATTGGAAACACCAACCCATATGAATGATAGACAAGCAGCCTATGAAAACAGTATATGTAAACAAACTGGAAACAGTGAGTCACCTGAAGACCTAGAAGCCCCAAATAGTCTCCCTTGGTATTTCCTCTTCTCTCTCAGAGCACATTTTGAATAAAATTGCCCAATTTCTTGAGGTTGGCAGGGCCCCCCCACCTTCTACTGGCTTAAGAGAGTTGTCCATTATGACCTCTCTACCCACCTCACACAGTGCATGACCAGACCTATAGTTTAAGAAAAATCTCATTGGCCTGTGCGTGTGCCATAAGCCTGCATTTCACAGAAGTGCTCATCTACTGAGGACACGGAAATCATCAGTGTGCAAGCACACATAACTCAGACAGCAGCCTGCTCACACCTGAGAAGTACTAAGGACAGAGAGTTGACGAGAAAAGGATGCCACAGAGGAACTCTGGCAGGACCAATGGCACTGGCAGTAGCAATTCAAGTCTGCAGCTCCCCTACGATATGGAAGAACCCCAACTGGTCAAGTAACTGGGAAGAACTCTTCCCTCCACTCAAGGAAAAGGATGTGTGCATATAATGATTTCTCCTAGCTTATGGCACAAAGCTAAGTGAGACTCCTTTTAGAAGGCTCCTCTTCTCAATGTACCTTTTCTCACAATCTTTCACTTGTTTGTACTATGGCTCTGTTACATTTAAAGCAGTGACACAGAAAAAAAATTGCTATTTGAAAACAGTGCAGATACATCAGTTAAAAGATTGGTCTCAGATGATCCACCTGATAAAATTTAATGAAGCAATTTGATTTTTCTTTTTCTTTTTTTCACTTAGTCTGAATGATTTACAACAGTTTGTGATGGATCAGGCTTACGTTCTTTGGCTAGTTATATCTTTCTTTGCTGAAAAGACTCGTGTATGTCCATATATACAAATACAATACATGTGTTATGGATATAATTTTAATATTATGATCATGTAAAACATATTACATATATTTTATACATTGAATATATTTATTTTTCACATGTATATAAAAATAAAAGTACATGTATAACTTACTTGGGCTTTCTTTTTTTTTTTGTATCTCTTGCATTTGATTCCACATGGTCAAATTCAGCCCATAAGCTAATACAATTGCTTACTGTTCCCCTGAAGATAAATCCATGACTATTTGCAAGTTTAACACCAAGAATTGGTACATGTAGTTCCAGTTTACATACTAGAGAAACCATTATTTTCCAACTTTGCTGTATTTTTGTGTAACATTTCTATTCAACGAAGAAAGCAAGATAAACAAGTGTAACACCCAATGTCATGTTTCACATTGTGCCACGAATATCACAATGTGGGCTCTAGTTGAAAAGTGGAATAAATTCCAAGAATCAGATGCACATTACAAAGTTCTGCTGATGACTGAAAAAAAAAAAAAAAAGAAAAAAATATCAGTCAGGCATCAACAGGAAGAGCTTACCAGGCAATCTAAATCTTAATTATGTAACAGAAAGCTGTGAGAGACCACCAGATATATAAAGTTTATGGTTGGTGAAAAGAGTTTGATAAACGACTATGCAGTCAAGGTTTCATAACAATTTATCAGTGACTTGGTGCCTGCTTAGGCAGAGGGTTGAACTTGAGAAGAGGACACGAATGCACTGAATATTTACCTAGGATACAGGGAAAACAGAGAGGAGTCAATCCTCCGTTAAAGCAGCTCAGCCTTTTGGACAGCACACGAAAGGAGCAACCGTCAGTAGCGGTGATGGATCTGATACAAATTTGAAGTTTACCATATGTGAAAGCTCAGTATGTCTTTCCTACTTAATCTGGAAAAGCTATCTTACTCATCGTAAAAACATCCTTTATAATCAACAGAATGGAGCTTGAGGTGGATTCCACTTACATTTCATTTTCTTCCTTTAAGTCTTCACTGAGCTTAGTCTTTAAAGGAGTAAGTTTTAGAATTTGTTGGAACAGTTTAAACACTACGTAGTTTCCTTCAACACCGTATGCTGGAACTAAGTAACCTAATAGCACAGGAGGGAGGCGCTGCCTGAACTTTAGTTTCTTCACGCTCATTCCTTCTTGTCCCTTGCTGTTGGTGCCACACCATATGTTTGGGCAGTAGTGCATATTCTGAATTATATGAAGCACAGTTAATGGAATTATTGACACAACAAATCAATAAACAGAAGTTGATCTGTAGCACTGTGTGTGTTTGGAAAATGATCTAAAAATAAACACATTCTTTTGGTAAAAGATTTTATCCCTCTAAATATCTTCTAGGAGAAATAAGGAAAATACAGGGCAGATGACATGTTTAGAAATAGAACACCAGTGCTTTTGCTTTTCCTCTGAATAGAGTAAGTTTGTCAAGAACTACTCAGTTACTACATGACACAGACACATTTTAAACTGGCAGAAATGCTTCAAGAGCTTTAAAGACTGAGAAGTAAATACAAATTTATTCCTCTCCCTA